CCAAAGAAACTACTCCTTTTGAAATGTTTGAACACTGATGTATTTTGGTGCAACTGTGGGAAGAGGGAAGATTTTTTTCTGCATGCATAGGTCTTGCCAAGGCATCTTTAATAAAGACATGAAATGTATAGCAGTGATAATCATACAATAGGAATGTTATGAATGAACGCTGCAACTTCTCTGTCTTTTATATATATGGAGACTAAAGTTACACTTAATAAACTTGAACATACCCAACATCTGCTGCCTACTGACAAAACAGTTTTTGTACGAAACTGAAATCTCTTCTTTCCTTAAGATCAAATGGAGATTTCATGAAGTGTGGAATCTGCTAGGTAAGTAGCTTCAAAAAAAAAAAACTTGAGATACAGGAGATACACCTGGAGGATGCTTTACCCTTTGGCAACCTTTTTTTAAAGACTGTGAGAAGTGTACAGGAGCAAAGCATCAGCCTTACTCACTTCTGATCCTATGCGCTCCTTTTTTTTCCCCCCTTTTCTGCTCTACTTTTAATGTTCAATCTTTATTATATTTGAAAATTCTTTATACATACTTCCATCATATTACTCCTCTCTACCATTGTCATCCCTTTTATACTGATTTGATAGCAATTTAAATAAACACTCAAACACCGCCAACAGCAGTATATGTTTCCAGAGTGTTTATTTCCACTATTTTCAGAGTGGTTAAAAAAAAAAAAAAAAGCTTTTGATTGTTAAAACAAAGCACATCCTGCCTCCACCTAAGAGGTTAAAAAAAAGGTTAAGGAAATTACTCAGGAGCATGCTTATGAAATGGGCTCTAAAAAGAAAAAAAGGTCAAAAAGACTCCTAACAGTAATAGAATTCAGAAGCTAAAACTTTGGCGTACAATCATATGTAGCCCTAATAACAAGTTACAAATACATAATATTACTTTATGATCCTTGGAAAAGGTTTGTTTAGGTTAAGTATAATATTAATTTTAAGATACTACTGCCAAAATCATTATTAAAGCCTTTAATTGTGCAGGCATTTTTAGATAGCGTTCTGGCAGGTGATCCCAGATTCGGAGGGAGTGTCTAGTCATTCTATTTTCTATTTCCAGTCTCCATTCAAGTATTCATTGAATATTCAAAAGGGAAAAAAATGTTCAGGGTAGCTGTCTAGCAGACATGACTGCAATCACTGTGGAATCTATCAGCTTTTGCTTTCTCCCAAATTAACAAGCACCCATATGTTTGAGAGACCACTTTTTACAATGCACAGATCCAGGCCAAAGAAAAATGCTCTTTCTAAACAAAAATTTGCATTATGAAAATTGTCTTCTCTCTACTTACCTGCCATTTTGTTTTTGAAATATATTAATCTAACTGTCTCCAGGCCTAAAAGGTTTAGTGATCCTTCTGTATTCAAGGGTCGTACCTGAAACAAGGAAAATCAGTCCTTGTAAATAGTTATAATGCACATTTATAGAGTGCATCTTATTCTGAAAGCTCCAAGGAGCGTTATAAACTCTGTAAAAGGAGCACTGTTACAAAGCCAACCAGGGAGCAGAACAGCGTAACTGGCCAGAGCAAACCCTCCTCCACAGAACTGCAGGCTGGAGTGAGAAGTGTCTTCCATCTCCAGTAACACATGCCTGCTCTCAAGAATAACAATTGTGAGTCATTAAAGCCATGAAGCAGGGTTAAAAACAATTTTAGATTTTAAATTTCTGTTTGGAGAACGAGTACAGTGGGAGTTGCCTAAAATTCCACTTAAAAACATAGGTTTAACACCATGCCTCCCAGCATTTAAATAAATAGTTGTTAGAAGTCTACTTCATGTAACAATTCAATTTTGTCTATTAGATGCACAAAGCAATAAACTGTGCTTTTATTTTGTGTTAGTATCATGTCACAATTACACTTTGCAACCTGGTAAGAGTATATACAGATTGCTAAAACCTACTGGTATTTGTGATTTCCAGTTTCAAAATGAAAGAAGCATTCCACTCTCCAAGTCTGCAAATTGTGTTAGAAACACAGTCTTCATAATGAATTTCCATTTTAGAGTCTCCTAGATGTAGTAGTTCTTGTTTGTTGAAAGTAACTTCATTCATTAAATGGGCAGTCTTGAGCCAAATATTAATCAAAGTACTAAATCACATTCTGCTGTGTAGGAAAAAAAAAGCTCTAACTGCTTCATAACTTAAAGTTTGGACATCAGAAAGTAGAGGAAACTTGCTCTAGAAGGCCAGATTCTTCTTCTCTCCTAAGATAGTCAGTAGCTAAGCACCTTGATCTTTGCATTATTTATCCTTACAGCATTGCCATAATATCTTGATCTACATCTGACGTGGAAAATTGATATGCAGAGAGACTGAATGACTAACACAAGACCACAAGGACAATTTCTGGTAGTCCTATGTCATTGAAACAACAGTTAAAGGAATTATGTTTACACTAATACAAAGTTGAAGTCAGTCTAAACTACGGGAAAAAAACCCACTGTTCTTTTTTCTTTTGAAATACAGCTGAGCAAACACCTCCTAAATACCAAGGAAGTGTCAGTTTTCAAAAACTTCTTCCATTTGACAAGTGACCCAAACCTGACATCATCCTGGTTATTTGTACTGGATGAACCAAAATGTTCTAACCCTATCTGTCTACAGTGTTCTTAAGCACTACAAGATAGATTTTTAAAGGCCTCTTTAATTATCCACCTGTTTAACATCCACCATTTTTTGGTAATAACACAGATGCAATCAGTCCCAATGAAGGCATATAGAATTAATACTGATATTGTAGAGAGCAGCTTGGTAAGTCTAACATACTTATATGCTCCAGACTGACCATTCATCTAAAACACTGAAACCACATGCAAACCATGTTTCATATCTTATACTTCAAACAAAAAGCACTTGTTTCTTTGCAGTAGATCTTCTTTTAGTTCAATTATTTTTAAACAAGTAATTTTAATGACAGCTTCTGATGTGCCTAAAAAACCTGGTATGACTGTAGCAAAGCAATATTGAGTGTAGACATACTCTTTAGCTGGTACTGAAACAGCAAGTTACCTTTTTGAGAGGAATAGTCTGAATCCACTCCATGGAGTTCACGTCGAAGATATCAATTGCATTTTCACTGTACACAGAGAGGTATGGTGCATTGTAACCTGAGAGGTAAGGATTAGGTACAGTGTCATGTCAGGGCTATGACATGTCACAGACAGGGCTCAAAATACAGAATTTCTTATGGTTTAACCGTATTTATTACAAAAAGAAGCCCACCCCACAATCCAACAACAATCTTTGCAAAATGTATTTTAACTCAAAAATGGCCAAGAAATTTATTCTGAAGGCAAACTGTCACAAAAAAAACCTAAAACCTCCATACCTTCCCTTTTAACTTTGCACAACCGAACTACTTTTTGAACTACAAGGGGCTGTTTACTCTGCCAAATACTAATGTGGTTCAACTTTTTTTTTTCTTCTAAAAGCCTGATTTTTAAGAGCTTGTATTTTCGTAAGTGATGTGGCAGAAAACATATTGTTGTTATTTAATAACTGTTATTTGAAGGAACTGAGCTCTTAGTCTTTGGCAGATGTACTAAATGAACATCAGTTGGAACTAAACACCATGACGCAGTCATAAAAATCTTCGTTTTTCCTTCTAGCTTTAATTCTCTTTTCTTATTTTCTAGATTGTAAAGAGAATTCTTGTGCTACTCATCTGGCACATTTCCCCAGGATGAAATTTGTTCCACAGGGACCACTTTTAAAGGAGAATTCAGTATTTCCATGTTGGCAGTAAGACTGTCATGGTCTGCCAAGACTAACAAGAGCATCCAATTTGTGTTTAAATGTTAACAGTTTTTGCTATAAAATATACCTCCATTCCGAATTGGAATAACATCAAGTCACTTCATTTAAGGCAATCAAAAAACTTGCATAAATATCAATGACCAGTATAGATGAACTACATATGAAAATATTCAGTTTTAAATCTATTGCAAAATCTTTTATTTTGATTCATTCATTCTCTGTGTCCATTGCAATAATCACATTCTTGCCTGAAAACCAGAACTGACTTACAGGCTGTAAAAGTTGCTCCTTCCATATTCAGAAGGGGCTTCACTCAAACAAGGTGAAACATTCCTCTCCTCAGTCACAATACAGTGTGACTGTATTGTTGTCACAGTAAAGTAAGAAGGCGGACTATTTTAAAAATCAACATAAGACTGGGTTCATTCACATATACTCTGAGGACAAATTTGGCTAATCTTTATGTGCATTCAGAAAGACATTAAAAAGAAGATGGGCATTGCAGGTTTTTTTTTCTCCAACTGTCACAAAGATAAAGTTTCAGCTTTGAAAAAATGTGCAATCAATGTTTAACACCGTTCTTGCTGGAAACTGGAATATTGAAAAATTGCAGTATTTTTCCCTTAAGGTTATGAAATATAGTTTCTGTACTGCCTGTCATACATCGTATTTTGGAAGGGAAGAGGGAGACGGTGGGGGGGAACTTAAAACCTGATCTTTTAAAAAAGTAAAGAGAGGAGATGAATGAGAAGAGTGTCAACAAAAACTGCTGAGGAAGAGAGTATGAAGGAGTAAGAAAAGAAAAGAAAAAAACCCATTAAGTAGGAATAAACATCATTAGAGAAGAACAAGTCAAACTACCAGATCCTGATGACTCTGACCATCAAGAAAGCTTGAATCACAATGCTGAGTCAAAGTACAATCAAATTTTAAGACTTTAAATAACAGCAGTCCAGTAACAGTGGTAGCGAATGCATAAAGATCCCATTAGCCTCTGTAGGACCTGAGACTTTTGGCTGTTTTAGAGATCAGCCCATGTGTCTAGAAATTGGACATCAGAGTTAGAAATCCTGAGTCTTGATTCCTCTTTCTGCTACAGCAGTATAGATCAGTGACAGAGTTGTCAAAACTAGCATAAATGAGATCAGGATTAAACCCTCTGGCTAGATTAAAAATGCTGACAAGAAGCTGAGAGTATTCATTTACCTGTCAGGTAATTATCCTTGAACTTCACCTCCTGTGGATATTAATACAAGCAGTGATCGCTTCAATGCAATAGCAAGCACACTGACACACATGGCAACTTACAGCAAGATGACGGAGTTGCGGGCCACATCAATTCTTGTTGTCTAGATCTTCGGCCCTGGCAGTCAACGTAAACCCCTACGCTGCTAAAACACAGCAGGTATTCTTTATTTGAGATTTCGACTGCACAGATGGCATCAGTTGGCTGCTGTGAGATAAATGATAGTGTGTGGTCATCTGGATGGAGCAGACTGTATGGGCTGCCTTCTCCGTGAAGGGGATATTTTAAGAAACCTGACTGGTAGCCCACACAAAGACGGTCACTGAAGACTGACATCCATTGGACATTCCCCTGGACTTGGATCTCCTTGATCTTTTTGTGACGTGTCTTACTCTGATTTAGTTCATAACAGAGGACCTGCCTTTTCATAGCTACACACAGGCACGTAAGAGCTCCGTGGCGCACATGTCCAGAAACTATTGACTGACAACCTTTTGTCTCTGCCAGCTTATAAAACTCAGTCTCCCTTCCATCCAGGGCAGCCATAGGGAAAAGCCGCACATGACGGTTTCGTCCTGAGATTACTGCAATGAGCTGTTCATTTGGGATAAGCTCAATCTGATGAACCTTCTTGTTGTCACCAACACGGATAATCTCTAAAAAAACAAACAAAACAAAATGCCCCAAATCCAAATAAATAATTTTGAAATGTGAATTAACTAAAACATATATATTTGTAAAGATAAACTATGAAGTAAACCCAAGAAATCCCCTTTATTGCTTCCCTGCAATATTAAAAAGTACAGAATCAAAACTTGCATTTTAATAATACCAGATGTGGCAATGCTGGATAGACCTTTGGCTTTTCTTCATCAGAAAAAGGGAAGAGCAGATCCAACGCAATAACAACCGCTCTATTATTTCAGTATTCATTTCAAAAAACAGCTTATAGCTGCAAAACTACAGGATAAAGGAAAACCCTCAAAGAACTGAAACATAAAATTGAACATGTTGCTTGTTGAATCAGCTTGGGCATCTGTCATTACACCTCTTTACAATACTGAACATAAGTTTTCATTTCCAGTACCAAGGAGGAGGTTACAGAAAAGATCGAGCCAGGCTCCTTACTGAGGTGCACAGAAGCAGAAGAGGATACACTGGTCACAAATTGAAATGGGAGAGATTCCAACTGGATATGCAAAGAAAATGTTTAATTGTGAGAATAATTACACTTTGCAACAGGCAGCCCAGACTGTGGAGCCTCCGTCCTTGGGGATTTTCAAGACGTGACTGGACAAAGCCCTGAGCAACCTGGTCCGAATTCAGTATCGAGCCTGCTTCAAACAAAGGAATAAAGCCTCAGCTGCATTCCAGGTGCTGGACCTTTGTTACTGGAAAGGATACCCAAAACAGAAAGCACACACACCACCTTCTTGATTACCAGCTCTGATGTGGGGCTGTCCAGCTGATAGTAAACTGAGAAACTATAGTAAAAAACTATAGTAAACTGAGAAAAATGAAACCAGAGGATATTGAAAGAGGAAAAAAGAGGTTACAAAGTCACTTTCTGATTATTTAATATTAGGGAAGTTACTACCAGTTCCTAATCTCTTACCATCTTTGGTGACATGCACAACAAATAAACCTTCTTCATTCCCCAGAGCTATTCTTTCATGGTCTATGATATTAAGGAAAAAAAACAAAGGTTATTTTTCTTCGGAAATTCTTCTTCAACAATAGTGATAATTCTGATTAACAGACAGTTTTTTAATATCTTGAAATAAACAAATATAAAGCCAAACCCAACACATTCATGTAACAAAAAAAAATTGGTAACCTCCCAATCTATCAAATTTCTGAAAAAATAAGTCTTTTCCCATTTCTCCTGTAAGTAGATGTAACACTAAGAAACAATTTTTAACAAAATATTCAAAGCACTTAAGTGTACTACCGACTTTGAAATAACTGTAATATCTTATTTAAACATAAACAATCCGAGTTTAACATTTTATGCAGTAGTATTTAAAATGACTAAATTAATTCTCTAGTACTACGTTTTCTCTGTGGTCCCACAAGCAGATTTTGTACAGTCAGTGATTTACATCTATTCTATAGTGCTAATTTCGCCCAGGTAAGGAATTGTGTTTACAGAATAACAAGAGTGATGTCCAATTCTCAGTTAAAATTATTCATAATATTGAGCATGTGTGAATACGGGGAATATTCTTAAAAATCTGACAAAAGTACTGGGTAGTGAATTGCACTTCTCTCAAGCCCATACACATTTCCATATGGGATAAACCCACTACATATTACTCTTGATTCAGTAGATAACATCATTTAACACATTTTTGAAAAAAAAGCATGCTTTTAGCATACCCATTTTTCTTAGAGCTTTCTTCTTATTCATTTCATACCTATGATTGCTGCTGACTGTGTTGTTTTGATGAGGGGTAAGGTGCTGTCATAAGCTTCTTTGGGAACATAGACTGAACGATCTTTGAGTTTGTTCTTTTTCAAGATCCTATGCAATTCATTCAGCACTCCTACCCACTTGCTTTTTTCATTCTCACCATCTGCTAGAATCAGGATTGAACACTTATTACTGGATGCAGAGAGCTGGGAGGCTGTGACCTGGAAAATTTTAAAATATGCATTTTAAGTCATAAGCGATTAAAAAATTAATCACGATCATTTTTACAAGGGATGCTTATAAATGCCCTTTTCATTAGCTGTCTGCACTAAGAATGCAAACATTTAGTTAACAGAAAACACTCTACAGCAATCAAGTACCCACAGCAGAAAAACCTGCAGATGTGAATAACTCAAAGAACTGAGTAACTCAAAGAACTAAGAAAACTTTGGCTTTATTCTAAACACATTTGTATTTATTCTATAATTTGGAAGTGTCTGCCCTAGATAAGGTAGTCGTCTGTTTCTCACAGCAATTTTATAATGAAAGCATGTCTTAACAAAAGTGTTCTGTATTTTTTAAAGACCAATAGTTTTCGTTAATAATTTTATGTAATAGGAACAGTCTTTATGGTAGAATGATCTATGATCCTTTTCATGTATTTGGTACAGCTATTACAGATAAAAATGAAAGCCCCTTTTGTAGGTTTATCTCTTCTCAGCATGCACAGTGATGAACAATTTCAAAGCTTTAAAAACAAGAAGTGAAATACAATGGTATAGTAAAGAAATGATAGGGGAATTAAGACAGCAAAGATATTTCATTGAGGTCAAAGCTTCAATAGAATGCATAGTAAAAATAAGAAAAATATTAGAAAAAAGCCAATGATGGCAAAATCTTGGACCAGATAATAGACATAAATTTTGATGACTACCTTACACTAGATTTCTATACTGACTACCTGATGAATGGAGTTTTCAGAGATCCAATGCATACATACAAAGAAAACATAAAGACTTCAGGAATAACACAACAAATTAAACTGAGAAGCAGAAAGCAACTTCAGGAAATGAAAATGTAGAAGGTCATGAAGAACAGAAGAATTCCAAATGACTAACAGGCGGTTGAGAAAAGTACATCTTATTGTAAAGGTTAAAAAAATAAAACCCACATAAAGTGAAGACGAGAGCTTGTCTAAATGTACCAATGCTATTTTTACCACGAAAATTATATATGTACAGATCCTTATGCACTGCTGCTGCTGCCATGGATACCACACAGCTAGAACTTGCAAAGGAAATAAAATAGTAGCAAGCTGTCAGTGAATTCACATCGTACATCACACTGTGAAATCCTCTACTACTGGGTTACTAGGTTCAAAATGCAATACTTACCCTAAAGATACAAGGGATATCTTTTCGATTTGCATGGATGACATCTGAGGCTAAGACGGAACTCACTGAGAATTCTTCATCCCTTATAGAGACCACAAACATAATTGGGAAAGTGTTAAAGAGAGTAAAAAACTGTGTGTTTGTTTTTCAGTTATATTTCCATAGTTCCAATAGCCTTGTTTCGTGAAGGACACAACAAGGCAACACTGAGATCTAATTTTTAAAATCATTCTTTCCGTTTCATCTGTATATGAAACTCACAAATGCAATGTTAACGTGATTAATTCCTGGTAAATGCTGATGGAGATCTATTCAGAGTATCTTTTTTTTTCTCTTTAAATTAAAACCTTTTTAAGAAGAAAAAAAAAATAATCAAACTTAAAAAATAACCCTGGACCAAGAATACCTCTCCAACTCCCTCATAAAAATCCAAACTCTGTAGGAGGTATAAGCTACAGGTGTTTGAGACGGTTTTGGATAAACTAACCTAGTTCAGAGATAAGCTTTACTTAGTTGGCATGTTGAATGTTCTCAACCTTCAGTGAAGTTGGTAGTATTTCAGAAATACTGAAGACAGTGGGAACAAACTATTTAGCCCTTCTGAATCAAAAACTGTATTAGTTTTACCCTATAACAAAGTTTTACCTGTCTTTCAAAACTCTGTTACGCCCCAAAAGAGCTTATTTTTCTTCTTTATTCATTCCAGATCTTCTACAGAACTGAACAGATGCATTTTGGCCCATGATGTAGTAATGGACATTTAAATTGCCACATATGAACACACAAGTGGAGTTCAAGCTAACTGCAAATACTGCTTTTTCCACAGAAAATTAGAGGCTCTCAACATGGATCACAGTGTTTCTTAAGAGCTCTGGAGCTTGCTTACTGATTTCACAAAAAGAACAAGCAAAAAAAACCCCTCCCAGTGCCTCAAAAGGAAAAGCAGAAAAAAACCCTCCCAATGCCTCTGAAAAACTCCCACTCAGCACCAAACAGCTTACCTCATGTCTATGACCTGATTCACTATCACGCTGGGCTGGGAAGCTTTTCCTTCTGCTACATCATATAGGAAGAGTTTAAAATCACAGATCACTGCCAGTGCTCTCTGCCAGCCTTTCTTTACTCCAGCCGGTTTTGGTACCTTTAGCAAAATAAATTATGATCAATTCTCTGTAAGTTTGCATGCAATAAAAAAATCAAACAGAGAGTACAAAAATCAATTCTCTCATCTAGGCTGACAAGTTTTTATTCAGTGATAACATTAAGCAACATAAGCAATAGCACAGGTGCAGTAACAGCATCAAGCACAGCCACACAGACACGGCAATATATTATTTAAAAAATTCATAGCACCAGAGAGTCTTTCTTCCTATTTCACAAACTCATTCAAAGCCATATTAACAAATATAGAGAAAGAAAACCCATCTCTAGTTGGTCAACAGGAATATGGCCAAAACTACGTTGAGTAATTTTTTTAATATTTATGTACAAGCATCCATAACAATGACCCTACATAATAGTAGCATCAACAGAAAGACTCAAAAAGTCACAGGCCCTGGAAGATGATCTGATCTCTAGACTGACCAACTCAAAGCACAGTGGGCAACAGAGATGGGAGAGAGAATTACTGTTGAAAATGTAGGAGTCGCTTTGTGAAAATTTAGCTCTAAGTTTCCAAACTGTTACCTTAAGGTATAATTGGACCCATCACCCCCGACGCCCCAATTAGAGTTTAATTCCAGCTCCAGAAAGCAACAAATTTATTGTGAGTGCCCCAAATGCAGCTACCTGATACTTACTCGGACATGAGCTTCATAAGCTGTTCCTATGCCTTTCTGTGGATCTATTCCCAAAGGCCCCTTAGTCTGTTCGGGAGGGATTGGACATACTGCAGGAGCCTTGTCTGCACAGGTCACATGGCAAGAGAATCCACATACTTGTGAGGAGGAAAAGAAACAAAAAGATTCGTTGGTTATTTCTTGTGCAATGCAAAAGCTATGACAATGATGACATTTATAAAGGAATCCTCTCTTTTTGACCAACAACTGAATAGTTTCACTGAACTTTGCTATACCTCCACAAATGTAAGTCTGTGCACAGCAGCAGTTCATGCTTTTATCTGCTCTAAATTCTTATTTTCTCATTTTCAGAGGTGCATGGATACACAGTCTGGTTTCATACAGGTTAAGAACGAGGCTAATCAGAAGCTCAAACGGAGATGATTTCCTCTAGGCCCGACTCTACCAGTAAACAAAAAGCTGGAAGCTCCTCTAAATGATGAGTGTCATTCTGTGTACATACAAACCTAGACTAAATTAGTCCTGAAAAGAAGCAAAATTGGTACTGAATGGCAACGTTGGCTTACATTTTGCCCCGAGTCAGAAAGTAAAGCTGCTGTCAGCATAATTGACCACTGACTGTGACTGCTACTTTAAATAAACTGAACTAAGCTCTTCTGCCACCAATTGGAATAAGTATGTCCCCAGTTAACTAGATAATCTGTGATGTTCAAAATGCTTGGCTTTCACTGTTAAAAGACTGAAGCATGAGAATATATTCTGTTACTCAAAATATGAACAGAAGACACCTGCATTATCACACCACAACATTTACCGTGCAATTTGCGTCTGTAAGAACTTAGGTTCACATTTCCTGCTTTCACAAGTGCTTACCTTCACAAGTACAGCCCTGTCGTATTAAACCGACCATCAGAGATGTGCATTGATTGCATTTTGTTGGTGTATTAAATGATTTCACTACAAACTGGTGGGCTTTAGGCTGTGAAACAAGCAGACAAGGATGTTAATACCTGTAACACTTCTGAAGAACAGTTATTTTTTTTCATAGACATAGAGTGCATAGGTGCATTTAAAAAGGCAGCTTATTTGTGTTTGCCGAAATGGGATCTGAGCTCCTACCACACGGGCTGAAAAAAATTCCTTACAAGTGCTCATTATTGATAATTTAAGCCATCTTCTATAAACAAAACCATGGAAACTGGACCTTGTCTCAGAACATGAGTTTGGTTCCACTGCAGATAAGGAAAGTTGCCAAAATCATTCCATTACACTCCAGAAGTTGAACATATGTATGCGTGTGCTTGGTCGGCACCTGGCAGCCAGCCAAGGTCAATCCACCACAGTATCTTCTAAGCTGCAAATTCAATGCTCCTCTGTAGGGAGTGTTGCCTTAGTTCAAAGAAAAAATCAGACTTTTCCAAAATTCTAATTTTTATACCAGAAAGCATGACAGAGTTCAGTTTTATGGTATCAGGTGCAGGCAATTTCAGAACACCCAATTTAAAAGCAACGGTGTATAGATGAAGTTGATTTTGAAAGGGCTTCTTGTTACTTCTTGGGAACACAGACTACATGAGTAAGGGTTTTAATTCTCTCTCCCCTCAAGGATGGCAGTGCTGATGCTATGATATCAAGGCTAAATGACTAGGTAATGTGATAATATGATTCATAAAGGCCTCATATAAAATCCAGGAAGCTACTTTGCTTTTCTAAAAGAACTCCCAGCAAAGTAATAACTGGTAGGTGGAGAAAAGATACAGCATAGGGTGAATACAAGGCTGCTCAAACTACCTGGATGACGTACATGATCTGAAATAAGACAATTTTGCAGACTACTTTAATGAGTAGGTATATTAAAATTTTATTCACTTTCCTGTTTTTCACAGCATAAGATATCACAGCTAAGGGCTCAAACTTCATCCATATTTAATGACAGTTTTACTGTTACAATGGAAGCTTTCTGTCTACAGATGGATGTCTTGTTTTGAAACTTGCAGGAAAACAATACTTAGCTTTAAAAACTGATGCAATCATAAAATAACAAGGTTCTTCAGGGAACATAATAAATTATAAAGCCAATCATTACTCACTGAGCAAAACATTTGCAAAAAATCAAATGATGTGCACAGTAAAAATCTGTTTCACATGATTCCAAGTGCACTTACAGTATTTTTTTTAATTGATCTACTAGGACATTGCCAACAGAACACAGTCAGCTCAAGCTTTTTAGCTTGCCTTTCCCCAAACAAAATCTTCTGTGATTCTGCAATTTATCAAAGCAGAGAAGCAGACCTATTACAAAGACAGACTTACTTCGTTGATTAGTTGCAGAAAAACTATCATTTTTTTACACATACAAAAGATTCCTAAGTCATTGAGGCACTTCTGAAACTTTTATGAGAATTTTTTTCTTTTAATAGCTTGTATCTTGTTACTCATTTGCTTGAATATATGCAGTTCACTGTGAATTAGCATACACTGACTGACCTATTTGGCCAACAGCAAATTAATTTCAATAACGGATGTAAAATCAGTATTTATGCATGTAAAAAGCCAGAAGACTGAAAAACTGGAATTCCTTCTCCCAGCCCAGTGCTGCAGTGCTGGCTGCAGTGCTCATTCTACGTTGCTTATAAAAAATGCAAATCTATGATTTAATTTTAAGCTTACTCTTTGCCTTTTCTCAAAAATAAGCATCTAATTAGCACACAGATGTGCTAATCTGAGTCTGGCCCACAGTGACACCAGTTTTACCATATGCAGAGGATAGAGGCAGGGTGGTCAGACACATGCTGGAAAACCCTCTTTCTAGGAAGTCTCTTTTACCCTCTTCATGTTCTGGTTCGTTTCTCTCTTTCTAATGCTCAAACTACTGTTTTTCCTATAATCATATGCCTGTGTGCTGCTACAGTGGAATGCCTAATACAACTTGTCACACCACGTAATGTAAGAATGAGGGGTTCTAAACTTTAGAAAGCAATCAGGTTGCTTACAAACAACCCTTCTAGGCAGTTCTGGTAAGACTACTGTGATAAACAGTTCTCCTGAATCTGTTGCCCAGGAATGATATTTTTGCCCTGACTATATAAAAAGCGTGAACACTTGACTGAATACCTTTGGTGCAGAGAGTCCCGATCCAATATATGCTGTCCTCATGGTTGGTGTGTGAATTGAACGGGGAGGATGATCTGTAACCTGAACATGGGCCCCAAAGTATCAATAAGACATCTGATACACGCTATCACAGATAGCTTGAATAAAGTAAAAAGACTGTAACGTCCCGCCCATCCCCAAACATACAAGCAATGAAACCAAACTGATTAACACAGGACTCAGAAAACAAAATCTTATTTCTCAGCAAAATGATGTGCAAGATTAATCTCTTAAATATCAAAAGTAACTTTGTATTATCTGAAACATTTGCTTGAATCTTTTCTGATGTAAAATAATCAGAGTTAATTTTTTTAACAGGGAAAGCAGATACATTATTATAGTTGCAGAGCCTGGCCAGTATTTTATTGACAACACTTTCTGCAGGACTCCAAAACGTGCTCTTACAAACTACAGTATAACGTTTACTTTGTGCCAACATTCCTTAAGTATTCATGACTGAGGATATGTTATCAAAAGAGACTGTTTCTAATAATTGATTCAACATAGTTCCCATCCCTAATCAATTACCCGTATGCGAAAGGAAATGCAACATTTCCCAAAATACAGTTCACCACTAGTGCATAAGGCTCTTACAAGGCCCTAAACAGTCCCTCTGCAGACATGTGAGCTCCATTCTAGACAAAAGGATTTGCAGTAGCAACTTTTACATGAGTGAAACTGTTACTCCTAAAAAGACAGACAAAAAATTGTCAACACTGAAGTACCTCGATTGGTTCAATCTCACTAGCTGTAGAAGGAGACCTTGATCTTGAATGGAGGTGAGACTTGCTATCTTCATCCCGTGATGGAGTATTAGACAACGTAAAATTCTCAACTGAGTCAATCTAGGAGAACAATTCAAGAAAAAAAAAAACAACAGAAAAAATAAATCAAAGACATTATTAAAAAAGAATTCTCAACTCCTACCAAAATAAGATATGTGAGCAGTAGTATTCCAAAGAGAGATCCGAGAGGATAAAAATTCTGTTTTAAGCAACTTCCTAATTAAAGTAAAAAAGTGCAATGAAAATTATTGAACATGAACACGTCAAGGCTTCTGCTGAGAGGTGAGCACATGCATAAGAGCTGCTAGTTCAGGGGTCTCATAAACACTTGAAGATACTTGTAATTCAGCATTTTTAAAGGGTGAATATTTTCTAAACACTACTGGGTTTTGTCCACTGGTAGTAGAGATTTGTTATGTTTTTGTTATCACTTTGTTAAGTGAATTCCCATATAGTCCATGTAAATCACTGCAAACATATTTAGGAGAAAATAAGGAGAAAAGGCAGAGCAAGCAACATATTTCCTTAGGTTAGTGTTAATTATATTCAGAGAACTAAGTGGGTTTTTGTACCCCATTTAAACTACAAAAACATCCTTACCAGGAATACAGTTTCTTCAGGGGACTATTTTCCTAGTCCTTGATATACAATGAAACTAAGTCCAACACAGAACTATACTGAACAACAAGGCATACAGGTATGACCAGGTATCTTGGATAACAAGTAATCTTTTGTCAGTGCAACCGAAAAAAAAGAATGGAGGATTCTTCCTTGAAAACAAGACATCTCCACATCAAAGTTTTCTATGTAAATTTTCTTTTTTTTTTAAATTAAAGCTAGATGAAGACGCTTTTCTCCATTAATAATAAAACTAAAAGCAGGAGGCCTACAGAAGGCTCCACTGCATGCCTGGCTTTTCTGGAGCAATGCTATCACCAGTCCTCCATTGCTAAGGATTTGGATAGCTTGCACACAAACTAAAATATGCTGCAACATTTACAGAAAGCATTTGAACATTCCAGTGTTTTTTATCTTATTTGCCATTGACATCATACTAAGAATTTGACAAACTTTACTGCTTTTTGGGAATAAAATATATTGCCAAGCCAATCTTATTCATGCATATACAGCCCTGTTCTCCAGAAACTCAGTCATGGTAGTGAACAGGTGCAGTTTCAGTTTTTTTTTTTTAATGTTACTTTTTTTCTTTCCTTTTTTTTTTTTTTAATAGTAGTGAATTAATTTTGATGGCTTCTAGTTTTACCATAGCCTTCAAAAAAAAAATTATCTGGAGGAGAATGCTCATCAGCTTAATCAACTTGGGCATATTAAGATGCCTGCAAGTATTTCTGTAATGAAAATGGGAAATTCTCACACTGGGATACACCTGTTTTCTACACATAGATCATGTGTTTCAAGCATTGAGGCAAAAATTAGCAGTAAAGCAAACGTTTTCTGTTCTGGTTTATCAGAAGGAAATAATAATCGCAAGCTTTATCTGGTATTAGAAACATTGATGCCTTTAAGTAGTAAAGCCCCAGATATATAACATTGTTTCAATTATTTTAATATTTTTTTAATCCAGTCTAAACTTGTGATAACTTGGAGTCCGCTCAAAGACTGTTTAAGCTCAAAAAATTCTACCTTCTTAAAAGTGCTATTAAAAAAATAAGCCCAATGAGTGACTACAGGCGAATATTCCATAGCAAGAAACAGACATTCCTTTTCTTCTGCGAGTTAAACTCAGAGATCTAATCTATCATTTCATAAATGCTTCCAGATACTCCAAAGGTTTTCCCTTTCAAAGTAGCATCTGCATACCAAAGAATTTTCATGATGCCTCTTAAAAAATTTAGTACAAGCATAATATAAATGATGGAACTTTTCTGGAATGTGCTACAAAGCTTTTGTGGTTGAAGACAACTGCGGAACCAGTAACAAATGTATTTTTACTTTGCTTATGAACATAAAAAGCCCACAAAACACACTAAACCTGATCTACCATTACAGAATTTGAAGGGATTTTAACCACCACCTTTACTGCAGGAACAGGGCCTGAAGCTGTATTGCTGCAGTAATCTCCAGGTTGCTTGCTTTAATGAGAAGAAGTAAGTACAAAAGCAGCCTGACTCAACTATGTGCAAACGCTTACATGGACTGTATTAACACCATTGAAATTCGTTTTAAACTAATCCACTGGATTATCAAAAGCACATTTCAATATTTCCTATCAAATTGTAATAGCCTTGTCATCTTCTATAGGACTGTGCTTAGTTGTCTATATGGTGTGACCTGTGTAGGTCTGAGCCAAAGCTAGCCAGTGTATAAACACACCTTGAGGAGAGATGAACTTCTCAACTGGAGCCACAGCCGACAAATCAAGCAGTTACTGTAAGCTCACCTAAGACACTCAGCAGCGTGCTTTGAACCGCATAGGTAAGGTCATTATTAGAGCTGTTGGGCATCACTGCACGTTTGTTGAATATTCAATACAAATGCTCTGCATGCCTTCCTATTCCTATCATCATATGTGTATAAAAAACCAAAAGCAGCAGTATGCGTTTAAAATCGACATAGCATACCTGGTACCAAGTCAGCCTGACAAAGCTTTGATAACACCATGTTTAAAAATCCACGTTGATTTCTGAAACACCATAGAGCTTTCCAGCTTAACAGATTACAACACATCCAACTTTGTTATCCTTGTATGAATTTTTCCTGTCCCACTTGATGGTCCAATTTACTCAATTCCCCACTTCCAATTTATTTATATTTGTACTGCGATATTTTCTATCATTTGCTATGACATGCCTCCCAAATACCAAACTTCTGCCTTCTATAGGCAATCCCATAAATCAATACAAGCCCTCTGCCAAGGGCAAGGAAACGAACGGGCTCTCATTTGACATTTGCTCGTCTTCCCAACCTCCATCTACCTGATCAGCTTTCACAAAGAACTTCCATATTGAAATCAGAAAGTACCCAAAGCATCTTCTCCAGTTACTGTGACATTCTGCTCATCGGATTACCAAATTAAATACTCCGAAAGCGTTTAGCCCACAGCTGTAGAACAACAAAAAGCACAGCAGCAGCAGCAAACAGTAGCAGCAGCACAAGACATGCAGTGAAGTAAATACACAACCCATACATGAAACAAAGGCATGTACACAACAGGCAAAAAATAAAGGGCCACATAGAGTAGGACAGCCTCTTACACGTCTGCCTTTGTTAGCTGGAATACAGGAAGGAGAGCGCTTTAACAAAGAAAGGAGGAGAATATGTTACAAAACCAAACAGTGACACATACATTAGCTCAGCATTCCTCACTCTATATCTCCAGAGGTAGTGTTTAGACACACATAAACATGCTCATTTTTACAAGTATTTTGAAAACAAGTTCTTCCAGGGCTACAAGAGGGAAGAAACATTAAAAAAAAAAAGTAACAGTTATTTTGAAGTCTGTAGTTTTACACTGGACAATAGCAGTGAAACTGCAGACTACGTTACACTAATAACTTGCAGTTAGCATCTCTGTACTTTGAACAAGATGAATAAAGCAATGTTTTGGATTGCAATATGACCAATTTAAAGTATATTTAAGAACCAGAATTATTCTAAACTCAATTACGAATGTGCAGGCCAAGTCAGGGCTCTCACCACACACTACTGCGGCTTACTCTGATAACGAGAATTCAGAACACGATTTATTCTGTGGTTATTTACAAAGTTCCGATTTGTCTAGTCTAACCAAAGCCTGCGGGGACTGCATGTGAGGACAGATTGCAGAGGGATATAAGAAATCTATTTGTAATTTGTAATGTCTTGATAACAGGGGAAAAATAATATTTTCTAGCAAGTGGGGGAAATAATTTTGTCACGGGAAAATTTTATTGTTAAAAAATAATCACAAAATCATCTTTAAATAAAACAAGTAGACTGCTTCTAGTAGCTAGTGAGATACACAAAGATCCACCTGGCAAAAACCCAAGACGCAACACTTCCATTATCAGACATTTCTAGTGAACACAGGAGACTTAACACCTAGACGACGTTAGTAAGAGACAGCCTGCAACATACAGGAGAAACAGCGGCAAAGATTTAGAAATTAGTATATTAATCACTGGGGGTGACTCCCCTCGCCATCAAAATCAGAAACAGCAAAACCCGTTCCTACTCTCCTTTGCACCCTCCCATGTGCACAGGAGATGCAAGGATCATTTCTGAATGCATAGGCTTTCGCAGGTATGAGGATTTAGGCACCAGTTCTGCCGACCTGGCTAAATATCTATCTTCGGTTTTGAGGAGGGATAGCTGGAACCAACAGTGACCGCTACTCGTCTAAATAGTGAACTACTACTTTTCTTGCTCAGCATCTGCAGGCTACAGAGGCAGCGGGACATCCATTTTTACTTCTCTCCAGAAGAAATTGCAAAGCTACCATTTTCCTCATTGAAACAATTAACTCCAGTTAATGTTACAATAAACAATTATGTTATTTGGATGGCAGACACACAAGACATACCCACCCTAGTAAACTCCAAACGTAGTCAGTGGGCTAAACTCAGTGTTGCTTACACATCTATATGTTAAATAGACTCCAGAGATCTTGCAAAGAGTGCTATCTGGCTGCAACTGCTATTATTTTACACTTTCTCTGTCATTCCATTCTGAAGCACAGAAGTTGGAGAAACAATACAGGCCATTAGTAATACTTACTTCGGGTTCTTGATTACAGGAGAGACTTTCCTGAAACACATGCAATTCTGCTGCACTGCATTAAGTCTGACCTGAGGACTTCTAATTTTTCCTTGGTCTTAATAAAAAGAACCCACACATGTCTCATTTTTGACTAAGCACAGATTAATTCTTCTTGAAATGCTGCAAGAAACACCGCCCTTCAAGGTAACTACTGTCAAAAAGAGACATTGGAAAGGGAATGGAGGTCACATGCAGTGGGGAGAGGTTTTTTTCAATACCCTTTAATTTAAGTCTGCCTAATACATTGATATTGAACCAACTCAATGAGCTAAACCATAAATAACCATTTTGATAATTCAGAGGCCATATATTATGAATCCCACTATGAATGAATCCATTAACTTTCCAATAAATGAAAGATGCAGAACTGACTTTAAACACAACTTAATTATACCACATTTCACCTACTAACACAGACATTAGCTTTACTTCTTTTTCTAATGATGATGGGTAACTCAACAAGTCTTGTATCTGTCTGCAAGGTACTCTTCCTATCTTTGAACAGTCAATTCTCTTCTTTTACTGCTTTTCCAGAGAGAAAGAAATCTGCCCCAGTGTTAGAGACATTAGCCCCTGGCCAGTCCAGTCCAGCAATGTACTCTTGCCTTACGCATTTGAGGGAAAAACGACTCCTGTGTGACTCAGATTGAAGATGTAACAAGTAAGTTTGATTCTGCGTGTATTACGTCATTCCCATGCAACAACATACACATTAATAACTGGAGTTTTACCAAAGACTAAAAGATGGGTATCTGAAAAGATTTGATCTGGGTGGACCAATCAAGAAGAATGTCTTGAAGGGTATATGGCAACAGTTGAAAATTACTCACTTGCACAGATGAAAAAAACAAAGTGATTTTGTCAAAATGCTTGTGAAAAAAATATGCTGCCAATAAATACAGAATGAAGCAGTGGTGTTCTCCAAAACTAACTAGATAGCAAATGGAAAAACCTTCTTGTCCTAAGCTTCCCCTTGCAAAACAGAACATTATCAGCTACTCTGCCACATATGAACTTTATGTCTTTTTTAACAGCGTTTAGGAGAGAGTATTAGATATTTTTAAAGGTAACTTTCTATGAAAGAACCTGCTGATACAAATTAAGTGTTCCTCATACTCAGGCAACATAAAAAACATTTCTTTAATCCAGGTAAAGGATATAAGTATTAACTTATTGTAGATTTAACATGACAGAAAAATATACTCTCTTTTTTTTTTTTTATCCCAACAGTATCAGCAAGACTTTCTATATGCTGTCCAAAAGTGCAGACAAATACCTTCTTCTGTGATACCACAAATGCACCTTCACATTTTGTCTAAGGTTGATACTTGATTTACAGAAAAAAAGCATCTGGAAAAGTGTTATTTCAGAGTTTGTGAAACGAAATGCAACCAGTAGAATAGGCCCTTATACTCTGCCCTCTTTGTTACAGCCTTCACAGCAGACATTTCTAGAATAAAATGAATTACATCGCATTTTAATGCAAATAGAATTATATTATTTAAAATACATATGTATAACTAGGTGTGTATGTGTATACACATATATACAAGCACACACAGACGTTCACACACAACATAGCTACAGAATTGGAATGGATGGTTCTCTACCATGGATGCATAGTATATACTTTTATTTTAAAAAGCTGATTATTATTTACTTTTATGTGCCTACTACTTCAGTCTAAAAGAAATATAATGCAGTCAATTTTCAGCTTTTAATTCAATTCCCTTAGTATGCAATTGGTAGGATAAATATTTGAACACTGTCCTGATTAAAAACTAGCATCTCAAATGGCAATAAAAAGTAGTAAATTACTTCAGTTGTAATAAAAATTACTTCTTATATAGGCTAAAAAAAGAGACTATATTTTATTTGAGCTAACAGAAATTAACTGTATGCAAGGAAAACAAGAAAACATTTGGAAACAACTAATGATAAAGTAATACTATGAAGCAATAGAACTAAATGAAATAAACGTGCCAATGATTTTGGAACTATTTTCCACAGGCCATATCAGTAGACAAGGCCCAAAAGCAGCTTCTCCCCAATAGAAAAACTGTTTGCAATTAAGAATTCTTCACCCACACCTAAAGAAAAACATTTACTTGAAAATTGAACATCTATCTGCATAAATAGGTGTAAGTATGCTCTTATAGAAACACTCTGTTTTCCACTGCACTTGCAGGTTTTTTTAAGTTGACTGCATTAATGTTTGAATATTCCAAATCAATCAACTGATCTCTGTTATTGAGGGATTTGATGGTTTGAAAGTCAAAGACTTACGTCATCCATAAAATCAATCAATGAGGATGAAGAGGAGGAAAAGGAATCCTAGTTTAATGAAAACAGCAGTAAAAAAACAGAGAGAGAGAGAGAGAGAGAGAGAGAGAGAGAGATGGAAAGATGGATGAAGAAAACTGTTCAGTATAAATAAAAGTGCAAAAATAAAGAACCATAAATAACTAAGTGCCAATAACCTCAGTAAGTTTTCATTAATTGCCTTTCACAGACAATTAATCAATAAACTACCCGTATAAAACACAATGTTTTTCCAGCATTCAATCAATAAAATAATATTCCTACACTCAACAGGATTAAAAAAAAAAATAATAAAAAATGGTATTAACTATGATGACTTCAAGAGAGAACAATGAATTAATGAATACACAATGAAAAGAAAGTAAATTTTCGAGCATCAATAACATCAGGGATTATGCTCCTTAATAGCTAAATGTGATGATCTTGTACATCTATCAGGAAAAAAAACAGGGGCAAATTTTAGACCAATGTGTAACTGTACAGGTGGTGCCTTGTCCCCTCTGAATTCAGTTTGACCAGTATTTTACCCCAGCTGTTCTTTTAAAAGAAAAATGGTGCAGTGCTTACTGTTTATTAAAATAAGAAGATGGGAAAAGTATAGTATCATTTCAATTTTTTTATTCCAGGTTTTCTACCTAAACGGGTCTTTTGTCTAAAAGTGACAAAGGAATTAAACAGATTTATTTTTTAAGTATATAGGATCTGTGGAGAGCAGATCAACAGTAATTATCGGGATTTTACAGATCTGTGTAAAACGAACAGAAGATAAAAACAACCTAAATATACAGTACCAATACTGTATTCATGGAATATATTCAAGGATTGTTTACATATTTTCTTTTATTTTTCCAAACCAGGATCCACATTACTTAGCATTCTTCTGAATACAAAGACAGGCCTTTTGAACAACTATGCTTTTCATATTCACTGCAAACTCAGGAAAATTTCTGCATGCAAGATTTGAGAGAGAATTCACTATGATTAGTAGTGTTCAAGAGAAGACAGCCAGCACTGTAGCTGACAAACAATTCTCACATATTATTATACACAAATATAAATGGGGCAATATGATTAAAATACCGTAGCAAACTCTCAGCAAATATGCATAAAACCTGCACGTAACAGCAGTAGTCCCACTGATTAACAGAGAGTTAGAAAGGCTATAAACTTACTTCAAATTGATCCAGAGCAGAGGTAGGCGCATTCAAAAATGCCAAGAAAGAATTCTGTGAGTCTTGGTGCTTTACACCTAGAAAACAGCAGCAGGTTTTTAAGCTACAGAAAAATGACCCTTCCATGGAGGACCTTTGCCTTGCTGAATCAGGGTTTGAGTATCCACCTGAACAACCTACATTTTTTTAAATGACTTGTCACATTTGGTCTGTTTTCCAGAGTGTAAGATTTTTTTTAATGGACATACACCCACTAAGCAAGCAGCATACGTTTAATTAACCTTTTCCAAGCTAGGATGTCTCGTGTGAATTCAACATGAAAACATACTGTCTGTACGTGTCTATTATGCAGAAGACACAGGTTTCTAAGGTGCTTATGTCCATTTGCAACATGCACTGCATGACATACTGGCACACACACTAACACAGCAGGCGTCATCCTGGCTCCAGCCACACGCTGGAGAGCCTACCATGACCAGACAGCTTTATCAACAGTGAGGTTCCACAAAAATGTACAGAACAGGCTTTCTGGGGAACACGCAGCATTTCCAAATAATATGGGTTCCCTGACCCATGCTCTATGCCTGTCTGCCACCTCTCACTTTTGAATGTCTAGGAATAATACAATCCTGGGTAAAGCTTCAAATGTCTCTGTCACACTACACCATTTACATAGTTTTCAGCCAGTAAGCAGAGCAGGAACGCTGCATCCTTTGGAGCTGCAGAGGCTGGCATATCTTGACTGTAATTTTAACATGCTTTAATTCATATATTATTATTTTTTTCTTCTTCTGCTTTTCTTTGGGGCATAATTCAAGTTGCCATGTGGGTGTTTATAAACCACAGATGTGTACAAACTCTAGCTTCCTGAACACTGTAAATACATTATGTATATATATACTCATTATGACCAGAGCCTGCAGGACTGTGTGCCTCTCAAAAGACCGCTGCTGTCGAAGGTCACTTATTTATTTTTAAAAAATGTCAGTGTCTTGCTCTAACTGGCCATATCACCCTGTCTTCTCTAAATGTAACCCACAGTGAGTGAAGAAGTTACAAAGAATCCTTTCCTCATTAAAATAGAAATACTTTGAAACCCCAGTAAAATACCAAAAACAATTCTCAAATTACCTGCTACTTTTACAGAATCATTTTTAGTAATCTTTTTCCCCACCCTTCTAAGTTTCTGGAATACGTTTATAAAGAGCAAAGGATTCAAGTGCTAACCTAAGTAACCCCTTCCTAGAAATCAGTTTCCAAACACAAGTAGTTACTCTACCACTGTACATTGACTACATTGGAATCCTCTATACAGTTCATGATTCAAACATTAATATATTTCTTCTCTTAAGAGAAAACCAAGTCCAAAAATGATAAGGATTTTGAACTAAGGTGTATTTCTATCAAAATATTTGAATAGTTGCAGTAGAATCTTATTCACTTACTTCTGGCAACAAGCATAACTAACTTTTCCTTGAATATTACATTTTCTTTCTTTTTTTTTAAGAAAAAAGTAAATGTTTCTCTCTATTTTCACAAAAACAATAAGGTTTTAAAGACTGGAAAAAATACAGGGTAAAATATTAATTATAAACTCTTAACACATTGTTTAACACACAGGAATATTTCAGAAGTCAAGTAACCATGCATAATATTTAAGACAGTTCAAGAATCTATAAAGGAAAGCTAAATATGACAAAGCATTATTGTCTCCAGGGAGATGCTATCAAGAGTTCCTCTCCAGGCACTTGGAAGAAGCATAATCCTGGTATCACTGCTAAGCATCAAGATGAACAAGTATTAGTTCCCTAAGTCTTATGTACTAATTGGCACCAGTCATTTTTTAATGTTCTGTAATGGGTTTGTATTATGTTTACCAGTCAGCCAGCACTTGGAGGCCTATATATAGGAGATGAATGTTAACTACAATACATTGTTGATTGACATGCCATTAGGTTGCAAAGGCCGAACAATATTTGACATCCCTATGCATCAATTGTGCCAGGGTTTTGAAGCTCTGGAGTTCAAACAGTTCCCTACAGAAAATTAGGTAATTCCATTTGGCCTGAGAAATCACTTCTTCCCATGTGACTCATAAGATACAAATATTAGAGCTACTACGGGAACTGCAAAGAATCAACCAAATCATTAATCATCTCTTAATGAAAATTTTTTCATTTCAGGATTACCAAAAAGTCTCTTCTCCCAGCTACAATGTGAAATACTGTTAGACAGATACACTAGAAATCCCAGAACAGCAAAGCAAACATGACCACGCTGCTCACTACATGGTTACAAAGCCAATCAACAGAGTCATCCCAGAAACAAAAGAATCCTATGAATGCCTCTGCAGTTTACTCTCTGGGTAGACAGGCCCAAAACATTCATAGATTAAGAACACTATGATCAGTATTGAAGTCTAAACACCTTCACCGATCACAAAGGGGAAAAAAACTACAAATATATCTATACTTCTAAACAGCTTTCTGGCAGTAAATCACCATACACATGCCAAATAAAAATAATGCAATTCCAACTCAAATAATACCTTACTGGTTCAAGTGTATCAACAAAACTGAAGCGCATTACAAGTACATATTAGAAGTGCAAACGCAGCTGCTGTGGGTACATCTTAACATGCAATTGTCGTCCTTACATTTTGTATACCAAAGTCTGTTGGTATCATATTTCAGTTGCAAAATGACAATTGGTAAGATGTACCCACTAATGTGAAACATGTTATTTACTTGGACATCAGTTGCCATACCCTTTTCTGATCTGAGCTCTTCTGTCTCCTTTTTCAACCTTTCAATATCTGTCAACAGTTCCATGTTCTTCTTCTCAGACTCTTGCAATTTACTTCAAAAGAATACAAACAAAACACTTATATAAATACTGAGAACCCATGATACAGGTCACTTTTTTTGTTGTCTATCTTTGCATGCTATTTAAAAATTAATGCCCAGCAAGCTTCATGATGTCATCAAATGCCAGAATGAATTCAGAAATCTACTGGGACCTGTTTAGTAAGGCATCTTAAAAAAAACAAAACCAAGCAACTAATTGCCCATTTACTCATTAAACAGGCTCATGTTTGTAATTTATGAGCCATTGTGCAAGCCTGTATCCTGCGAATGAGAAAAAAAAACCATGTGTTTTTATGCTTAAAAATTGGGGTGTTTTAATTTGTTAATTTACAGTGCCTTTGACATTAGTAGGTTATGTTGAACTATTTTTCTTCTCAGATACTTTACAGTTAGTTGTTTCAGCGCTTTCCAATTCACAGCTGATAGGTAACACTACTATGCATTTCTACCACACTTCTCATCCTCGCCTATGAAAGCACTGGTTCTCCTGTTCTTAGAAGATCTACAATGCTGCCTATCATCATATTACCTGGCCTGAAAAACACCCAAGTCAGGTGCACAAGGTATCGCCACTTTACAGATAACATACTTGAATCACAGCTCTGTCCAACTCTTCGATAACCACATCTTATTACTGTGCAAATCAGTATGCAATAATTGACTTTTGTCAGCCAACCCAATGCAGCTATCAATGGAATGGAAAAGACTATGTTCTAAGACACAAAATCAAACTCTGCTTGCATTTGAACTTGTTATCAAAACTAGGAAATACTATATTATTAAAGAGAAAGTGTCTCTACTGAAAGCCTTCAAGATTTCAAATTTTCAGAGTAAATGTTCAGCTGCTTATACAATGAAGAGAGATGGTCTTTTTTTTCACGTGAATGTAAGAAACTGGCATATCATTCATTAGCAAGGTTTGACAGACAAGATAGTTAAAATCATGATTTGATGACACTCCCTAGGAGATATCAAAGTAAATTTCCATGAGAACAATTGAGTCTTACCACTCTGTAGAGATACAGGAAGCTTTGACTTTATTCAACTCATCTTGAATAGCCTGTTTGGCTCGGATTTCAGCATCAAGAGCAGACTGTAGCTCCAACCTTGCAGACATATCCAGTTTTGCAAAGCGGCGCATCTTCCACGGCATGTCCTAGGTTAAGAATAAAAAAAAAAGGGAGAAGAGTAAGAGGAAAGGAAGCTGAAAATGAGGAATGTATTACAACAATTACGTTTCTCAGTCTTTTATGTTGTTAATGTAAGCGTTCATTAATTCCAAAGTAATGTAAAATTAAAAAAAATTAAAGAGTATTGTTGTTAGTATTATTATTTTAAAACTGAAGTACTAAGAAGGCAAAATGAATGTCTTATGCTGTCACGATGTCAAAAGCAAAGAAATTTTTTGAATTCTAGTTTTGATATGCCTCAATTCAAATGACAGCTACAAAGGACATTCACATTTCATGACTGAAAGATTTTTACAGGACTGACCCAAAGTATAGATTACCTTCAACAAATTCATATATGATTACGAAGTAGCTACTGAACAATACCAAAGATAAAATCACATTATAAAGATATTGGTGTTTAATTAATTGATAAACAATAAATTCAATAAATTCAACAATAAATTCAATTATTCAGAAGGGAAGCTCTAGGTAAGTTTAACTTTTGACTAACACAGACTCTCAGACCTGTTATTACTGCAGCTGAAACTGTCAAAGCAGTGTTTTTTCAAACCAAAAAACATCTGACATATGGAAGTAGAGTCTTACTGTAGCTCTTGCACCCAAACTGGAGTTCCTCAGGGCCTCTAGTTCTTCTGTCATTTTAGAAGCCAAGGCTTGAAGATACCCTCGAGCATCTTTTTCATCACTTACCCTAAACAATTACATGAGAAGAAAAAGGTGTTTTAACCAAAGAATCTAAAGAAAAAAAAGTCCCCTCAACAAAATAGCAATCAGAAACAGAAAAAAAGCAGAATACAAAACAAAAATAAAACATAACGAAACAAACAAACAAAACAGAAAACCACACTGAACTAAGCCTTTGCTGCTTTGCAGAGTTCCATTAAACAATATGCATCACTAAGACAAGGAATAAAGATTGAAGAATTACATATCTAAGTAATATATGTCTCCATATAAATGTCAGCTACCTGAAATTGAGGCTGTAGGAAAGAAACCTTTCAGGATTCTACCTATTTTTAGGGAGTAAATTAATACAGAATTTAAAACCAATAATTAACAATTCAACTATCCACATAATACTGGAACTAGTGGTTGACTTTTCTGTATCAATTGTCTATGAGAACTAGTAGTTAGAATCAAACAGTGATCTTATTTCAAGAAATACTAATTAAATAGGGAGAGTCTAATTCTAATGTTATTGAACAGCATAAGCCAGAAGAGGCACTCTCATCCCCCAAGCTTTCTTGCTATCAAGACATGTTTTCTGGGTGTAAAGACATCAAGAAGGAGACATGTCTGTTTTTTCAGATTCTTTGATCATCAGTTACAAAGAAAAAAAAACCAAACAAAAAACAACTTTCTGTGATTAATCACAGCAGAAGGTTCTTGCTTCACTTGGCCTTGGCCTCAGGTATTAACATAGAAAAGAAAGGTGCTAAAAAATTACCTCACTGAAACTAAGTAGCTTACGAAAAACCGAAAACAAACAGAAAAAACAAACAAACCTCCCTCCCCCCAACACCATCATTTCCTTTCACTTTGCATGCCTGGCTCTGAACATACTCCCACTCAGGTTGATCTGCTGGAGGGTGGGAGGGCTCTG